AACATTGTGAAGGCGGAGGCATGGGGTGTTCGACAGCACGTGCGCGGCTGTCCGCATGTTGCGATGCTGATTGCCGGCTTCTCGGCCGCGTTCCTTTCTTTCGCCTCCCATTGGCTCCTTCGGGTTCTTGAACGCAAGCGCCTGCCTTGATATCTTGCGTGCTTCTTCCAGTTGCTGCATGAAGGGGACCAGGGGGGGGGGGGGGGGGATTCTCGCTGGCAGGAGTTCTGGCCAGATCGACTTCTGCTATTGCGTAAAGCAGGGCTGCCCTGCATCTATGCTGCCCCATGCCTTGGCCACTCATGCCCTCGCACGTTGGCTTCGCTCACGCGTGGGCCCCCGCATCGACGTCAATCTTGCGTGCGCGGATGACCTCTTCTTTGGGCTCGCTAACGTTTTGACTGACCGCCCCCTGCGATCGGCGGCCTCCTGATGTTCCAAGACGCTGCCAACCTGCAACTCAATTTCCGCAAGTGCCGACTTGTTGGGCGCGGGGATGCGGGGATCGATTTCCCTGAAACGTTTCTGGAGGGCTTCGGGGATCCAGTTGCGCAGATGGTGGCTAATACTTGGGCGGTGCATATTGGAGTTCCCATTTGGGCCTGATTGTTATGAGCATGCTTGGTAGGACGTCACCCCGAAATTCAAAGCAAAGGTTCGTCTGGCCCGTATTCTCGGCGTAGGACTGGCTCTTTCCGCCGTCTCTTGCCGCATTGTGCGCGCCTCACTTCTCCAATTCCGTTTACCACTTTACTCTTTTGATGGCCCTCTAATCAAGGCGTTCAAGAGAGGGGTCATGCTGCTGGCGGCAGGCCCCAGGAACGCCATTTCCTACGACCTTTCCGTCCCGATGCAGGAGATCGGTCTCCACGTTGAGTTCCTAGACGTTCACGCGGCAGCGCGTGCTGCCCGCGCTCGCATTGCTGTGCGATGTGCTGCCGTTCCCTCGATCCTCTCCTCCGTCGACTCCGGCCGTTTCGGCATCGAACGCATTCCTCTCCGATGGCATCGGGGTTTGCATGGGCAGTCCTTCGTCATGCGCGCCCCGAAGGCCATTCAGCGGCATGTTCCACTCGTCGCCGCTGGATGCCGCAGGGAAAACGTTGCAGTCGAAGCTCTATCGGGTCGCTCGCTCTCAGGCGCCACAGGAACATGCCAGGCCCATCCTCCTCCGCAGGATTAGAAAGCTTATCCCTGAGGCAGGGCCGCGGCACATCGACCAGTTCTCTACGAACCTGCAGTATGTTGCCAAGTCCACCTCGATGTACCTCGCTGTCGCTCTCCTTCGGCTGCTCGCGAGCTCAATCAATACCTCTTCCCGCTTTCGCAGCTCTCCTCGGGGATGCGTGTTTGGTTGTGCGGACTCTATTGGTGGTGATTTGGATTAGATTTCCCATTGCTGCTGTTGTCTTCGATTTGAACAGATGGTCCAGGGGTGGTTACGGAATCGCATGTTGAGATCGAGTGAGCCCGTCGGGCAGCCTTGCTGGTTCTCCCTCCTCCTCTTGTTCCCTGCACCGCATGATACCACCATTCTTCGAGCTGCATGCTGCGATGCTTGTTTGTCTTTACTGAATGCCCGTCGGCTGGGTTCGAGGGTATCTCCATCACAGCATTTTGGGGCGCGGCTACGCACCACGGCGAGGAGGCATAGGCCTCTCGCCGAAGCGTGGTCCGCCAGCCCGTCCTTCGTCGTTCGCCGTCTCACGATGCGCCCGCCAGTTGTGGAGCACTTCGTCGCTGATTCGCCGCCCGACCAGGCCCCAAGGACCCCAAGGACTCCTCGGGGGCGCTGGGTTCCCAACGAGTACCCCTCCTGTTAGGGAAACGAAGCCTTTTATACATATATATATATGTATATATATATATATACATATATATAAAATTATATATATATATATATATATATATAATTTTATATATTTGTATACACATAAATGAACTAAACGGCCTTGGGCGTTGGCTGAACAGCCCTGCCTTGTTCGATTCATTCCCTGCTTGCGTTTACTCAACGGCTTCGCTTGTCGGTGTGACTATTATGGGGAGGATTTTCTGCCATCTACACCCGCGACCCACCCGCGACACATTTGCGACCCACTCGCGACCTACACACATTGGTTAAACGAACAATTCGGCGTCTGCGGCGGGTTCGTTGAACAATGTGTGAAACTTTGGCGCCTGCGGCGGGCTTCTCCGGAGTCTCGCGAAGTGCCAACGTCTCCACCGCCCCCATCAGTCTTATAAGTGGCACCCCGCAATTGCGGATAAGAGTGAGGGGGCGGGCGCGGGCGACGCGGGCGTCGTCGAGCCGGCGGACCTCGTGGCCCCCACCTTCCCTGTCGATGGCGCCCTCCTCCTCCTCGTCCTCCTCCTCCTCCTCCTCTTCGTCCTCCTCGTCATCGTCATCCTCCTCCTCCTCCACCTCGTCCTCCTCTTCTTCCTCGTCCTCCCTCTCCACCCCTCGTCCTTTCATCATCGTCCTCCCATTGTCGTCCTCCCCCCTCATCGGCCTCCATCATCGTCCTCCCGGTGTCGTCCATCATCATCATCCTCCCCCTCCTCCCCCTCCTCGTCCTCCTCCTCCCCCTCCTCCCCCTCCTCGTCCTCCTGCTCCTCCTCCTTTTCTTCCCCCGCATTATCCTTACATCCTCTCTTTTTCCGCGCTCTCCTCGTCCCATGTTTACTCCTCCTGCTTCCCCATCCTTTCCCAAGGTAACTGCAACGCAATCCTTTTTTCCATTTCATGCTCCCCGCCTTCTCTGATCAAGGTAACGCGCCATGGCAGAGTTGCTGGACGGGCTGGTGTGGATGCGCGGGACTTAAAGAAGTCCTTGCGGGCTCAGACGGCATGCAAAAATCCGCCGCCGCGCTTTTGCGGCATTGGTTTGTTCAGCGAACGTGGTTTAGGTCGCGAGTGGGTCGCGGGTTCTCCACCTCCACCTGGAAGGAATGCAAAAGCAGCCCGCCGCAGGCGCCAACAAAAATTGGTTTGTACACTGAACGTGGTTTGGGTCGCGGGTGGGCCGCGGAAACTCCACCGGGAACGAATGCAAAAGACGCCCGCCGCAGGCGCCGAAAAATATGGTTTGTACCTTGAATGTGGTCGCGGGTGGGCCGCGGGCTCTCCACCTGAAGCGGATGCAAAAGATGCCCGCCGCAGCGCCGAAAAATGTGGTTTGTACCCTGAACGTGGTTTGGGTCGCGGGTTGGTCGCGAGTTGGTCACGGGGTGGGTCGCGGGCGTTCCACCTGGAAAGAAAGGAAAACAAGCCCGCCGCAGGCGCCGAAAATTGTGGTTTGTACGTTGAACGTGGTTTGGGTCGCGGGTGGGTCGCGGGGTAGGTCGCGGGTGGGTCGCGGGTGGGTCGCGGGTGGGTCGCGGGTGGGTCGCGGGATGGGCCGCGGGCGGGTCGCGGGGTGGGTCGCGGGGTGGGTCGCGGGGTGGGTCGCGGGGTGGGTCGCGGGGTGGGTCGCGGGGTGGGTCGCGGGTGGGTCGCGGGTGGGTCGCGGGGTGGGTCGCGGGTGGGTCGCGGGGTGGGTCGCGGGGTGGGTCGCGAGGTGGGTCGCGGGTGGGTCGCGGGGCGGGTTGCGGGTGGGACGACGACAACAAACAACAACAACAACAAGAACAAAAACAATAACAACAACAACAACAACAACAACAACAACAACAACACCAACAACAACACCAACAACAATAACAACAACAATAACAACAACAATAATAACAACAACAACAACAACAACAACAACAACAACAACAACAGCAACAACAACAACAACGAGAATCCGCACCGCGGAATTCCACTTCAGCCACGCACCAAAGGATAGTGAATGACCGTTCGGTCCCCTCACTCCTGATGTTGATCCGCATATGCGGGGTGTTACGCATTTGCACGCCGTGGATTGAGTTCCGAGAGTGCAAAAATCCACGTCTTGGGGTCCTGGTGTTGGAAACATATTTGTCGTCAAACTTCGGACGCCTGCCACGGCGGGCAAGTGCAGGTGCAGGGAGGCCAGAAACATGTTCACGAAGCTCTGGACCAATGTATGCCATGTGCAGGTGACTGGCCCTGCACATCTCACGAATATATGCAACCAAAGAGCAGGTGCAGGTGAACGGCCCTGCTGGAAGCGTTGGCCAGCACGCCGTTGTGTGGGGAATCTCCCGCCAATGGTGGCCCCTTGTGGTCGCCATTCCTCCTGCTCCTTTTCCCCCTCCTCCTCCTCCACCCCCTCGTCCTCCTCCTCCTCCTCCTCCTCCTCCTCGTCCCCCTCCTCCTCCTCCTCCACCCCCTCGCCCTCGTCCTCCTCCACCCCCTCGTTTTCGTCCTCCTCATCCTCCTCCTCCTCGTCCTCGTCCTCCTCCTCCTCCTCCTCCTCCTCCTCCTCCTCCTCCTCCTGTCCCTTCTACTCCTTCGGACAGGGCAGCGGCCGACCTTAGCCGCGGGATACCTCGTGCTATCTCCACGGCTGTACTCAATGCTTCCCTCCTTGTGCTAGCAGTCGGACTCCTCCTAACCCTCCTCTCTCCCCGTGGTGCCAATCCGCACGCGAATTTTCGCGTCATCCCGTCCTTCTTCTCATCCTGGTGCTGGGTGTCTTTGGGATCCCGATCCTGTCCTGAGGAGCTGGGGCGGTCTTGAGAATCCGAAGCTGTTCATCAGCTGGAGAGAAAAGAAGACTGGGGAGGAACGATCAGGGCGAGAATGGGGTCGCCTGTTCTGTGGGGTCCGCCGCCCCAGGCCCATGCGCGACGGCGATCGGAGCCTGCCCAGGGACCTCTTCTCCAGAGGGCTCTGAACCTTGTTCTCCTCGTCCTCCTCGCTTCTCGTCCCTTCTTGTCGTCCCTCCGCCTCCGCCTTCTCCTGCCCCGCCGCCGCCGCCTCCTGCTCGTCGTCGCCCTCGTCCTCTTCCCCTTCCTGCCAGCGACGACCTCACCACACAGGCGAGGGCCACTCGGTCGGAGGCTGGACCCTCTGGGCACGCCCTCTCCTGCCGATGCCGGCTCCACTCCTCGCCGGCATGGTGGCCGCGCTCGTGGTCCACGCCATCGGGCTGAAGGCGGCGCAGTCCGATCAGGCGTGCAGCCTGCCTTCTGTCTTCCTGTCTTCAGGCCCCCTGCGTCGCGGACAAGAGTCGCCGTTCGGGCGTTTCGTATGGGGGGAGGCGATGTAGGGGGGGGGGGATCGAAGGCCAAAGGGCCCTAGCGGGGCCCCTTTGGGCCCCGAAGGTGCACGAAAGGTGCATCTCTTTTCACAGTTCTTCTGTCCCCCCCCTTTTGGCACTCCCACCAATCGACGCCCAAGCGGCGGCCAGCTTCTCCTCAGCCTGGGGCCCATCTCGACCCCCAGGAGCCATCAGAAAACAATCCGGTGAAAAACGCGGTCCTCGCGCTCGTGGATGTCGCCGAGAGGTCGGACGCTTGAGGCCTGCAAGGCCGTCTCGGGGGCCGCCAACGCCAGCAGTGTTCACGCACACCAATCCTGGCCAGGCCCGCCGTGGAACGGGGAACGCCGCAATTGTACTTCCGCCCACCGCCGTCGAAGACGAGGAACGGGGAGCAGCGAAAACGAGGAGCGAGGAGCAAAGAGGAGGAGAGGGATGAGCAGGAGGAGGAGGAGGAGGATGAAGGCTTGTGCACCAGTCCTGGCCCTGGGGCTGTGCTGGCGCCGGGATCGGTGCAGCGTCCCTTCCAGAAGGCCTGGGCGCCCTGCAGCCCTGGTGCTCTGGAGAGGTCTGGCATCTGGCGCGGGAGGGCTGCCTGAAGGAGGAGGAGGAGGTGGTGGTGGATCCAACGCAACAAGCACCGAACTTCATGTCTGACCAATGTCAGAAAAAGGTGGTGGGTATGATGATCTCTCGACGGATGATATGCTCGAGTTCTGCGGTCTCGTCTGCGAGCCTAGATCCTAGATTCTGGCCCGCCAAGGTGGTCACACACCCCTTGGCCCCGGGGAGCTTGACGAGAGGGGCTCGGTTCTGGTCACAGCGACACCGCGATCGGTGTTCCAGCCATGGCATGTATGACTGGCAGCTCTCAGCCCGAGGGCTTCTTTTGAGAGCGACCGCTGAGCCCATTGTCTCCACATTTCCAGTGAGACCTTGTGTTCGCTCTGGTCGCCGTTGCCACGGGGCTTCAACCTCGCATCAATTCAAGCTGAAGTAACCAGATGCAGCGACCGTCCCACTGACACGGTCATCTTGGACTCTGTAGCGTTGAGTTCTTCAGGGAATGATGATAATGCACGGCCTTGAGGAGGATGTGATTTGTGCGCCTGGCGACACGACATCATTCCTGGCTTGTCCCCCTAGTCGTCGCGTTGTTGAAGGGCGTGTCGCAATGTTTTGTTTACAGACGCCGCACCTCATCCAAGATATTAGTGCCCCGCCGCAAAGAGAGAGCCCCGAAGGCGCCGCCCCACTGGATGCCCGCGCCTCAGCAGACGTTTTGCCGTTCAGTTCGGGGGAGGAACATGCGGATGAGGAGGAGACGGATGAGTAGCGACAGGCAAATGACAATGAATAGAATACGTGGGTGGGGGGGGGGCTAGCGGGAAAGGGGAGTGGAGGAGGCAGAGAACGATCAGGATTGTACGGAAGAGTAATCGTTGGAGGACGTGGGTGAACATGAGGGTGAGGATGATCAGACAAGAGTTCGAGGAGGAGGAGAAAGCTAGGAGTAGGAGGATGAGAATGGGAAGGGAGAGCAATATGGGATAAGGGGAGGGGCGGGTGATGGTCAGGGGGAGGCTGAGGCAGGAGGAAGTAGGAGGACATAGCGAAGTCACCACGCTCACGATCGATGACGCTGGGTTCTGGTCGGGGCAGCCAGCTCATGGTGGGGAGGCGTCGTGTCCGCCGACGGTCTTGGAGCCCGCAGGGGTGGTTTCCCTGAACGGGCCCCGACCCTTCGGTGCCAGGGTGGTGGAGTATACTTGTCGGCTAGATCGTGCTTCTGTGTGTCGATGTGGCCGAGCCTGGATATCTTCGCTGTCCTGTGCCTCGTTCCCTCTCCTCTCCTGCCTGTGCCCCTGTTTCCTCCAGTTGCCCCTGCCTGTGCTCCTCGCCCGATGTCTCCCCCTCTTCCCTTGCGCTGCCATCCTCCTCCTCCTCCTCCTCCTCCTCGTGCCCCCCCGCTGCGAAATTGGCGCGCGCTCTCACTTTTACATTGTCACCCTGCCCCCATCATGATCTTCGTTTTCTCGCACGTCTTCGTCCTTCTCCTCGTCATTCGGACCTCCACTTCGTTCTCGCACTCCTTACCCTCATCCTCTTCCTCGCCCACTCGTCCTCCTCTTTCTCGTCCACTCACTTGTCGTGCAGCTCTGGCTTTGCTGGATTCCGTGTGCTCTGGCTGGGCATCGGCCGTACGTTATAGTTTGGCGGTTGCATTTGGTTGGTTGGTATGCACGAGCAGTTGCGAGCAGAGATTTGCAGGCCCGCGGGGGCCATTGATGTAACCGAAAGGATTGGCCAGTGTTTCTGTCCAGTCCATGCGCCGAATCTTTCAAGGGGGTGAAGCTCTGGTTTGGGGGTGAAGCTCTGGTTGCAGCCTTCGCTGTCGGCCTGACCAGTCCCACCCGAGCATGTGTTCGCTGGAAGGGTGTTTTTTTGTACGCTGATACTCACAGCTGTTGTTCTGACACTGCCTACAGAATGAGTATTGACGGGTGCGTCTGGAAGTTACGCTCGCACGTGTGTTCGTGACAGTGCCCGTACCAATCTAGTTTGTAAGCGTTTTCTAAGCACACGTACCAAGGTCGGCATTGTTTCAATGCGAATTCTGATTTCTGTGTGCATTGTTTCCATCGTGCGTGTTGTACCTGCAGTTGTTTGTTGGGGAATCTAGCACATCTCCCGTCCATGCTGTTTGTTTGGTTATTGTTTTGCATCGGAACGTCACCCCATCGATGTTGCTTCCCATTCTCGCGCGGTTGAGGCCTCAGTACGACCCCGAGCATTCCCACCGGATGATCAACACTCATGGGCCATGGTCTGAAGGCCGAATACAATTACCGCCGCCCACCGATAAGCACATTTTAGTAGTCCCGAAGTTGAAGCTGATCTTCTGTTTCATACCCAAGGTAGCCTGCACACAGTTCAACAGGCTCATGAACGATCTGAATGGCATGACCCATCGGCTTGGCGAGAATTGTGGAAATCATGATCCGATATTTGCGTCTAGCGTGCGTTACCGCCACAGCATTGGCAATGCATGGAGCTGGGACTTGATGGAGGACCCATCCTGGACAAAGGCTGTATTCTTGCGGGATCCACTGGAAAGGTTGGTCTCTGCTCACCGGTCGAAGTGTGAGAACGACGAGTGCGGAGGTTGTTTGGAGCATAATTTTACCAAGGGCATTATGGAGGATCTGCTTGTCAACGACAACATGCACTACCTTCCGCAACGCCATTTCTGTGGAGACCCCCATAGGAACGAGACGTTAGAGACGACGCTCAAGAATTACCATTTTGTTGGCCATGTTACTGAGGACCATGCTAAGGTGGCGCACCAGGTGGAGAGCATGCTCCACCTGGCTCTCAAGAGGAGGGAGAGCCATACAGGAGAGACTGGCCTGATAGATTTTGCAGCCGCTGGTGCCGATGTCAAAATCGCCAAGGACTCCCTGGAGGCTGGCTTCACACAGGAATCCTTATCCCTCGTGGCCAGGAAGTATTTTACGGATCGCTCTGAAGACAATGTGGATGTGAGGGCTCCTGATAGCAGGCCAGAAAATGACGAACAGCTGCCTGCCGATGCAGAGACTCTAGATTCTGTGGCGGAGACGTATTTTCCCAGAAGCGCCATCACGTCCGAGCATGCTGGGTCAGACCACGATACCGGTGTGAGCAGGGAGTTCGCCAGCCGCTATTTTACGACGCAGACTCTGGAAGTGGCTCTCGAATATTACGCCAAGGATTATCGAGTACTCCCTGGCTTGAGTGTTCCTCGCTGGGTTGACCAGACGCTAGAGTGCCTGAGGATCACCACTGGGGATGGCATCGACGATTCTGGCCACCTCCGTGTGATGGTCGAAATCGTTGGGGAGAACGGTCCGGTGTCTACGCAGGCGGCGGAAGGCTTCTTTTCTCGCAGCAGCACGGTGCTCGACAAGTGCTGGGGCCAGGTGTTGAGCGTTAGGGTGCAGAGCTCCGGCCCGGACAGCTGGCGGGGGTCGGTGGAATTGTCACCCGATGGCCGCGTCTCGTTTGGGACTATGAGGTGCTCCGAGTGCTCATCTGGCAATAGCAGAGATATCTCTGTGGCGAGCACGGGGGGATCGAGGATTTCCGGCGAGCAAGCCCAGGTCAGGGCAGAACAGCGAATCGCTTTCTCGTCAGCAGTCCCCGTCGATTTTGACGCGTCATTGCGATCATCCACTTGCCCCACGGACCATAGTCTGGGAAGGCAAGTGATGTTGATGCAATAGGTTGCTTTTTCCCGAGGGAGTTCCTGCAGCTCTTAAATTTACCAGAGTGGCTCTCCCTGAAGCTCTCGCGCCGGATCCAGTGCACTCGTGGTTCGCGGGATGCGTTCGTGGGATTTTGACGCCCAAAGGCGGCCACCGTGAGTGCAGAATTCCGTTTCGACCGCGCGCTCACGTGTCCTGCTGGGTCTGGCTATGTGGGGAGGGGGTGGAGCAGATTCCTTCCATGCTCGTTTTGGGGACCTTCCTGGGGCCCACCTAATGGATCTGTTCGACTCAGGTTCGACTCAAGTTCGACTCAGGTTCGACTCAGGTTCGACTCAGATTCGACTCAGGTTCGACTCAGGTTCGACTCATGTTCGACTCAGGTTCGACGCAGCTTCGACGCACGAGTGGAGCGAGTGGCTCCAGGAAGGTCCCCAGAATGAGCATCTAATATTCCCCCCATCGTTGGTGGAAGCCATCAAGTCCGCGGAAGCAGGCGGGAGGCGTGGGAGGCAGCGGAAGCAAGAGCAGGTCCCCCGGGGAGAGGCCAATTGTTGGTGCCGGGCTGGTGCCTCCAGAGCCAGCGCTCTCGACCGAGGCGGTGGCACTGCCTTCCTGCTGCCATTGGGGACGGCGTCGGTCAGGCATACCTTGGGATGCAGCTCCTCCCCCTCCTCCTCCTCCTCCTCCTCCTCCTCCTCCTCCTCCTCCTCCTCTTCCTCCTCCTCCTCCTCATGCTCAATCCGGCTCCCGCTTAATCCCGCTCAATCCGGCTCAATCCCGCTTAATCCGAGGCCCACTCCGTCGTAATAGCTCCCACATGGGGCTGAATCCTCCTTGATCTTTCCGGCGCAAACCTCCCAGTAGTTGCCTCCTAAGGCATGCCGGGCGGAATCGGTTGCTTCCTGCCAGGCATCGTGCCTGGACGGGGCTGCCTGCGAGCTCTTGAAGGAGGAGTCGCCGCCGCCGCGGCCCTCGGCTGCCCCAGCGCGCGCGCCTGCAGCCCTGGTGGGCACCGAGGGGCTGCAGGAGGCCATCCCCTCCGGCTACACGCAGGCGGGCAGCGCCGCGGGCCTCCCTGGGTGGCTTAGGTCGGGCCTGTCCCCCTACAGGGGGATTTTGGAAGAACGATAACAAATAGCTAAAAGATGCCCCAGAATGGTAGAAAAATGATCAAACAAATAGTCCCCAGGCTATTTTTGGACTATTTTTGAATATCCCCCCTGTAGGGGGACAGGCCCGACTTGATGGTTGGCTTGTCGAGGGCCTTGGCTCAGGGCTGTTGCTTGAGCCGGGGAGGGGTCCGCGTACGGTGGACCAGTCGCGGTCAGTGACGGGTCATCCGTGCAGTCAGGCAGGGTCACAAGGATAAGGGCTCCCACGGGGGCGCGAAGTTATTCGCGCTTCGCGGTCCTCGTTCCTTCTCCCCCTCCTCCTCGTCCTCCTTTTCTCCCTTTGGGGGGGCGGCGCGAGAGCGCGAAGTTATTCGCACCTCGCGCTTCGCGCAGCGCGAAGCGCGAAGTTGGGAGCCCTTGAAGGACGAGTCCCTGCGTGCCCTGCCCTCCCTCTCCCCCCCCACAAGGGGCAGGGGGTTCGAGGTTCGAGGATCGAGCTCAGGGAACCGAGGTCTTTGGGCGGTTCTAGCCTTGGTTGGGCCGCCAGGGACTTCAATGCAGAAGGTCGACATATCCACGTCATGGGTATTGAGACTCCTGGAGGCCAAAGCACGCGTTTCCCTAACGAGCTTGTCTGTAAGGGTCCTAAATATGTGTGTGTGTGTGCGTAAGTGTCTACTGTACAAGTCTGTACATCCCCACAGAAGGGTGCGGGGGTCCTGTGATCCTGAATTGGTGCGGGGGTCATGTGATCCTCGCGTTGTCACCCGTTGTTTTGGGTCGGTGGGAAGGTCATGGTCTCCCATTGTCTCCTGTTGTCGCCCGCTCTTTGTTGTCTCCAATGGTCTCCCACTGCCTCGCGTTGTCTCCCGTCGTCTCCCGTTGTCTCGCGTTGTCTTCCCAACCGTAGGTGTCTCCGTCTGTGCTCCTCTCTCCGCCACGCCGAACATCTGCCCGGGGTCTTCTGCCGCAAGGGTGTACTTGCCCTTGGAACGTGCTCCCCCCGGAGACCTGCGGAGAGCGAGAGGGCGGAGCGGAAAGGCTATGGGAGCCCTCTGCGGGGCCCCCCTCCTCCTCCTCCTCCTCCTCCTCCTCCTCCTCCTCCTCCTCCTCCTCCTCCTCCTCCTCCTCCTCCTCCTCCTCCTCCTCCTCCTCCTGCTGAGAGCGAGAGGGCTGAGCGGAAAGGCTATAGGAGCCCTCTGCGGGGCCCCCCCCGTGGCTTACGATTGTCGCCCGCCTCTCAGGCTGGCAGGAACTGCGACTGCGGGCACACCATCGCGGAGCTTCTGGGAAGAAAGGCGGCCGCCTCGCTCCTGCCCTTTGGCGGGCAGCTGTTCACAGTCTTGGGCGGATCGCAGCGGGTAGTCCCCTGGTTTTTCTCCCGCGGCGGGCAGTCTTGGCCCCCGGGAGGCGCCCGGAGGATTCGCGGCCCGCCGGGAGCGCTTTTTGTCGCCGTGCGGTGTATTCCTGGGCAGCTTGGCTCACGGGGCCCAGCGCGAGTCTCGGTTCGAAGGTCTTGTTCGTCCAGAGCGGCTCCAGGAGGAAGACCGGTGACCAGCCTGGGAGGTCTGCCCCTGACTCAGATAGGTCCACTGACCAGCAGGAAGGACACCAAACGGCAGCATGCGCTGAGACTCAGACGCCCGATGAAGCCTTGCGGGGAACCCCAACGAGACCCTGGCTTCTGCAGAACTTGGGGTCAGGAGCCCCGCGAATCCGAGGATCCTGAAGTAGCCGTGCACTCATGGCCCCAGATGCAATCGTATTGGGTCGTTGCTTCTTCTTGGTCGGAGGTCGCAGAATGGGTCAGTCGGGACAGTTATTCGGGGCGCGATTCTGCTCCCGACCTCTCTTCCAGCCGACATCCACAGAGATATGAAGTTTGGGGGTGCGGAGCTGCAACTGTCGTTTTTAGTGGAGGCGGAGAAGGGGGAGGTTAAGGGGGGGTAGGGGAGGCGGAGTCCAAAGCGGCTAAGGGTCGCACGGGCCAGGTCTAAAATTATGGGCTGCGCAAACTTACGCAGCGAATCGGAGCGATCACCCTGCGTGGACGCGAGAGAAAGAAGATAGCCCCCAAATATTTGAAAAGAAAGCTGGGAAAATGGGCAGACAGAACATAGTGTTGCAGGAAGATCAGAAGATCGGCCGATCCGCTTGTAAAGTAGACGACGAGGAAGCGTACAGGTTTCGGGCGCCAAAGTCGGTGAGCCAGGGAAGGCGGCGGGCGAAGACGTAGGAGAAGCTGGCCGGCAAGCCAAAAAGGCGCCGAGGCCATGCTCAGAGGCCTGGTTAGGTACGAGGACACATTCTGTATCGACAGCGGCCAATGAGATGTCAACGTAGCACGTGCTAGGGCGAGCCACCCCTACTTTAATTACCACCTGTCGTTGCAGAAGGGGGGTCACGGCGTGGCTGACGCAGGCGGAAAAGGCCGCCGAATCAGGTGCACGTGGAAGATGCCAGAGGGCATGCAAGCCCAGGTGGGCAGTGCCACCCGAGTGGTGCAGAAGGGAGCTTCATTTGGTACGCCACGCGCACGCACAAACCTTTCTCATCCGACTTGCCGATGGCTCGAATCGACGGGAAAGCGATCGCGGGACACCCTCAATGCTGCTTAATTGACCACCTTGTGTGTGAGCGTAGACGAAACCGTTGCCTTCGGTCATGAATTTAGGGGGAGGGCGAGGCGCGTGCAAGATAAGGATGCGTGGGTAAAGCAGAGACGAACCGCCCAGGCACACCAGCTGGCGAGCGAGAGGGGAATAGGACCGAGAGGGAATCCTGACGGGAAGCCACCAGTTATGGCTCTGGGCGGCCGCTCCATTATTGCAGCACGCTCGCATTCACGCACGCATACACAAGCACGCACACACACACACACACACCCACACACACAAACACACACACACAAACAAACAAACCAACAAACAAACAAGCACACAAACAGACACACACACATGTACAAGCAACGTCGTGGCTGCCGTGTCCGTCGCGGTGGCCCGGGATCCTGCCACCGTCAAGGCGCATCCTCGCCGCGGCCCTCCCTCGCGGTGTGCGGCGACTTCACTCTCTGCGCCCCAGGCGGGCCGCACGGCCCTGTCGCCCGCCCTGGTTCTCCCCAGCATCGCCACCTCACCACCCACCAAACCACCCCAACCCAACCCGAAGGCTCAGATTTGCCCTCCATTTCCAGTGTGGGGGGGGTCGCGGAACATCGAAAAAACACGTATGGAACCCTTACCCCCCCCCAACCCGAAATTCGGGTCTTCGGGTTGGGTTGGGGTGGTCTGGTAGGTAGTCACGTGCCCCCCGCTCCACGACCTCGCATGCGGCGTCCTGGCAGCACATCCCGAGCCAGCCCACGGAGATCAAGCAGCCTCTCGACACGCACCTCTAGGGGGTCTCATGCGAACCCTACCCCTCCCCTCCACGATTTCTGAGGGGGAGGGTTCGCATGTGGCCCCCTGACCTCGGCACCTCCCGCGACTCCACGGGCAGGCTCGGCGGGCTCTGCGGCGCCACTCCTCCCCCGGGCTGGCTCTCCAGCTCGGCCTGCACATGGTCGGCCTCCTCGTGACCCAGTGGAGTGCCACCCCCGACAGTCCAGCGACCACGCCCCGGTCGATTTCACATCAGGAGGGAAAGAAACACACAGACAGAATGAATCGTCGATTCCCCAGAAAATCTGGGAAAATATGGGAAGTGGGGGGGAAGACAGAAGCCCAGAAAATATGGGCAAGTATGGCAAATCTGTTTATTTGTGTGTATTTATTTGTGTGTGTCCTGGGGCCCTTCATTACATGCACCTACAAGGCACAACTCCCGCCTCACCAAGGGCCCATCCCCACCTTCGCCGTCGAGCACCTGCGCTTGCACGAGATCTTGGGCTCCCCGCCAGCGCGAGCGACCTCGCTTCCCTCTCGGTACCCAGCGGGCCCGTCAGGTTCAGGCGCCTCGTGCGCGAAGCTGCCAGGATCACGCGGAACGAGATCACGGCCCTCCCGGACTCCAGCGTCGACGCCCGCACATCGGCGTAGTCTTCCATGGCGCGAGCAGTCTGGCACCGCGACTCGCCTTCCCTTCGCGCTACTCTCTTCGTCGCCGCTCGCTCAGGAGCACCCGTCCATCGTCGACGGTGCGCCGGCCGTCATCAGCCCGACCTCCCCTTCAACGACCTCTACAACGGCGTCCTTCCTCAGCGCCGCGCTCGAGAACCGCTTCGCCAGCCGCCGTCTTCCTCGTGCTCTCGGTCGGCGCCATCGCGCCTCGCTCGAGCGCCTCCGCCAGACTTGGAACTCCTTCGGGAAGCAGCTGCTCATCACTGCTCCTCCTCCTCTCGCCTCCTCCTCCTCCTCCTCTCGCCTCCTCCTCATCACTTCGTCTCTCCTCTCGCCTCCTCCTCCTCCTGCTCCTCCTGCTCCTCCTCCTCTCGCCTCCTCCTCATCACTTCGTCTCTCCTCTCGCCTCCTCCTCCTCCTGCTCCTCCTCGTCCTCCTCCTCCTCCTCCTCCTCCTCCTCCTCCTCCTCCTCCTCGGCGGCGATATCATTGCGGATCCCGTTCGTCAGCTGTTTCCCTTAGCCCAGGCACGGCCTCCCACATACCCCGGGGTCCACCACGTCAGTACCCGATTTCGCGACCTCCATCGCCGAGCGCTTCGCCTCCAACTTCTCCATCCCGGACCTCGCTGCGCCGTCCTCTTTTGCCATCGGTGGCCTTCTCGGGAGGGTGCGCAACTCCGCGCCAGGCGTGGACGGCATACCCTACCAAGGCCTGGCTCTTCGCTGGTCCGCGTGTTCGGGCTCTCCTCCATGAGGTTGCGGTCTGGCTCTGCACCGGCTTCGGCGTGCACGGCGTGCACGTGGGCTTCAACGATGCGCCTGCCGTGCTCATCCTGACGGGCGCTGAGGAAGAAGAGGACGACCTGGCATGTCCCGCGCTCCTCTGTCTACTCGCCCGCTCTGTTTCGGATGCAACTCCTGAGAAGTCAAATTCTGATGTTGCCCTGGTCCGAAGCCCGGCTAAATCCGGCTTAATCCGGCTTGATCCCGCTTAATCCGGCTTAATCCTGCTATAATCCCGCTTAATCCGGCTTAATCCTGTTTAGTCCGAGGCCCACTCCGGCGAAACAGCTCCCAAATGGGGCTTAATCCTCCTTAATCTCTCCAACGACAACCTCCCAGTAGTTGCCTCCTCTGTGTGAAGAACGCCGACGTGAAGATTATCTCTGAGGCCATCCGCTCTGCCAACAAGCTCGCCATATCCGTCGGCGCGGCGCGCGTGCAGCACGGCTTCGTCTCTGGCTGGGCCCCCATCAACCACGTCGCCGACTTGGACACGACGGCTCGCATCTGCTCCATGCGCCCTGACCTCAAGTCCCCAGTGCTCCTGTTCACGGATTTCGGCGCCGCGCCCCTTTCTCTCTCTCCCACGAGTGGTTCCTCATCACAGCTGTGCGGTCTTCCCTCCCGCCAGGCCTCGTCAGCGTCATCCAGAGCATCCACAGCATCGTCATCGCGATTGGTCGTGCTGGCGGCCGCACGCGGACGTTGTTTCCCATCCTCAGCGGGGTCGCCCAGGGCTGCCCGTTGGCAAGCCTCGGCCTCGTCCTCGCCTTCGACCCGTTCCTGCGCTGGTTCACGCACGCTGTGGACACCACGCCACTTTGAAGGGGCCCTGGGACACACAAATAAATACACACAAATAAAAATATTCCCCATATTTTCCCATATTTTCTGGGTTTCTGTCTTCCCCCCCACTTCCCATATTTTCCCATATTTTCTGGGGAATCGAGGATTCATTGTGTCTGTGTGTTTCTTTCCCTCCTGACACTTGGCATCGCGCGGGCGTGCGCCGACGACGTCGGCTTCGCCCTGGCCGCTCTCGAGGTCCTCCCCGCGACCGCTGCCATCTTCAGGTTCGCTCGCATGCTCGCTGGCCTCGCCCTCAAGCTCCGCAAGCGCTCTCTGGTTCAGGAGGGAAAGAACACACACAGACACAATGAATCCTCGATTCCCCAGAAAATCTGGGAACATATGGGAAGTGGGGGGGAAGACAGAAACCCAGAAAATATGGGGAAATATGGGGAATCTTTTTATTTGTGTGTATTTATTCAATCGCTTCGCTCATTCCGCCGGCCCATATTGCAGCATCGGAGCGCTGAGCCATTGAGGGGAAAGTGAAACGACATGTAGGGGTGTGATTTGACGGATCCAGAGCAAGGAGGGCTGGAAGAAAAAAACCTTCGCTGATGCTCTGGCGGTTGGCCATATTGTAGCATCGCTGGCGCTTGCTCGCGTGCTCGGGGGGGCATTTTGGGGGCCTCCTGGGGCCGCTTGGGGGCTTCTTGGGAGCTTCCTGAGAGCCTCTGGGGGGTCTCTTGGGGCCTCTTAGGGGCCTCTTGGGACCTCCTGGGAGCTTCTTGGGGCCGAGGGCTGGAAATGCTGTTTCGTGTTCCCCCTCTTGGGGCGTTCTTGGGGCCCTCTTGGGCCGTCTTGGAGACCTCTTGGGCCGTCTTGGAGCCCTCTTGGGCCGTCTTGGGGCTCTCTTGGGGGCCTCTTAAGCCCTCTTGGAGCGATCTTGGAGTCGTCTTGGGCTGTCTTGGGGCTTCGGGAAGCGGAAAAGGTGGAAAAGGCAAAATATGTCCAAAACCTAAGGAAAAGCAATGAATTTTGCCTCTTGGGGCCCTCTTGGGAGTACGCTTGGAGACCTCTTGGAGCGTCTGGGGGCCATCTTGGGCGTCTTGGAGCGATCTTGTGGCATCTCGGACGCCTCGTGTACCATCTTGGGGACCTCTTGCGGGCCTCTTGGTTTTGTTTGGGTCCTCGGGGACGTTTTCGGAGCCCTGTTGGTGCGCTCGTGGAGCGCTCGGGGGGACCCGGCCGGGGACCGGCCGGGACCTGGTCGGGGTACTTTTCGTCTGGGGACCCCCAGGGGCCGCCCCGCGCGCGCGAAGTAGAAACATTGTAGAGCAGTTACCGGAGATCTTAGCACGCCTCTGGCCCGTTGGGCCGGCGAATTTGTGTGTCCCAGGGCCCCTTCACTGGTGCCGCTTCGTCCTTGGACGCCCCAGCTCGAAGGATATCGCCCAGGGGTGGCTGCCTCGGCGCCCCGCTGCCTCGGAGCCTTCCTCGGCCCTCCTGCAGGCGCTCTTCTCTGGGAGGGCCCCTCCCCAAGAAGTGCTTCGACCGCGCCTCCAAGACCTCGGACTCCTGCGTGGCTCCTCCGTCCGCCGCCTGCGGTGCTCTGCGGCGCGCGCCCTCTCCCGACCCTCTCCTGCGTGTGGCCCAGGTTGCGCCCTCTCCGAAACCGTGTCTTCGTCGAGGACCTCATGCTCTTCATCGGCTGCTTCGCGCCCCCGCGAACGCATTCTCACGTTCCGACGTGTGCTCTCTCTCTCTTCCCCCGGGGCTCCGTCCGGCTCCGTTCCATGCTGGGGTCGGCCTGATCTCCGCGCGGGTCCGGGCCGCCCTGGAGACCATCGCCGACATGGAGATCATGCTTCGATGGGCGCCCCGAGCAGTCCGAGGAGCACCTCCCCCTGGTCTTGTGGTTCCGTGGCGTCCTGTCACCTGCTCGCAGGGATTCCTCTCCGTATGCGGTCAACCTCTGGCGCGCTGCCAAGGGTCTCCGTGATCATCGGCGTCCGAGTTTCTCCTGCTATCATCGCCGAGGTTATGGCTGCGAAGGACGCGTGGTCCGAACGCAAGCGTTTTCAAACTCCAGCGGTTAATTTCCACCCGTCTCGTGTCGGCCCTCTTCACCGACACTGTTCCCGACCTGCTCATGAAGAGACCTTCCACTCTCTGGCCTGCCGTCGTCCACAGCGTCGTTGATTTCGACACCCTCCGCACGTTCATGTGGACTTTGTCTCCCGCCTGGGCGACCATCATTTTGAAGACCTGGGCGAATGCATTCTCGCGGCTTCATCTTGGATGTTGTGCCCCTTGCCTCTACGGCTGTGCTGATGATCCTGGCGACCTCCGGCACTACTTTTGCTGCCAACTGATGTGGGCCCCGCTTGGTTGCCTCGAGCAAGCTCCATTCTGAACGAGAGTTACAAGCTTACCGTGAACTGCCCCCTCTTCCCGCTCGAGAACTCCTTGCTGTTCCGACCCACATCGCCGCACTGCGCCTCGACCGCCTTCCTCACATACCATGCGCCTCCTCATCGCTCCCAGCATCCCCGCCATGACCACGTTGCTCTCCTCCAAGAGGTTTGCGCCTGTCGTGCTCGTGCTCTCTGTGCCACGTCCCTGGCTACATTGAGCTGTCTGCGTACATCGGACACCCGTGAGTGGTCCCTGACCCGTGAGGTGTTATAGTGCATCGTACGACCACACACGCACACGAACACCGAATGCGGTACTGCCTCCAGGTTCAGCGCTGCGCATATATGTATAAACAATATAAATAAATACCGCCCCCCCCGGCCCCTGGTCCCACACCTCCCCGCAACATCTCGGGGACGCTCCCGGTACCGCTCCCCCGGCCTTTCCGGGGAGACTCCACGCTCCAGGAGGGCCCAAGCAAGACGCTTCCCAGGAGCCCCCAGAATGCGAAAGGATAGCCCAAGACGCTCCCAAGCAGCCCAAGTCAGCCTTCCGACGGCTCTCGAGGCTCCCAGGTGGCCTCAAAGAGACCCCAAGAGAGGTCCGAGAGGCGTCCCGGGACGGCCCGAAGAGGCCGAAATCGTCGATTTGCATTGGTTGTTTCTATGTATTTGGCCTTCTCGCGTTTTCGAGCTTCCAAGGGTCCAAGAGCGCCGAAGAGGCTCCCAAGACCGCCCCAAGACCACCCAATGGACCCTCAGGACGGCCCCAAGACGGGCCAAGAAGGCTCCAAGACTGCCGAAGAGGCGCCCAGGACAGCCCCAGACCAGCCCAGGAAAGGCCCAAGATGGGCCCAAGAGCGGGAGCAGGAGGCTTCCAGAGACCTCCGAGAGGCCTCCGGGAGCACGCAAAGAGGCCCCCAACACACCCCCGATCCCTGAGAGGCCCCAAAAAGACCCCGACGAGGCCCCAAAAACAGCCCAAGAGAGGTGCGAGAGCCGTCCCGAGAGAGCCCAGAGAGGGTAAAATCGTTGATTTCCAATTCTTTTTCTAATGTTTTTCGCCTTCTCATTCCCAACCATCCTGTGGTGCTGGGTCCTCGTTTTGAAGGGACGGTGCCGCGCGTCTCCTCCTCTCCTCTCCTCTCTCCTCTCCTCTCCTCTCCTCTCCTCTCCTCGCCTCGCCTCGCCTCGCCTCGCCTCGCCTCGCCTCGCCTCGCCTCGCCTCGCCTCGCCTCGCCTCGCCTCTCCTCTCCTCCTCCTCCTCCTCCTCCTCCTCCTCCTCCCTCCCTCTCCTCCTCCTCCTCCTCCTCCTCCTCCTCCTCCTCCTCCTCCTCCTCCTCCTCCTCCTCCTCCTCCTCCTCCTCCTCCTCCTCCTCCTCCTGCGTTTCACCCACACAGTACATCGCTTCGTGGCCGCCACCGCCCAGCACAGCCCTTGCTCCCTGCGCTTCACCCCCCCCAATACAGCGTTCCGTGGCCCCATAGGGGACTCCACCGCACGCGCCCCAGAAGCCCAAGTTGGCATTTTCACCCACCCGGTACAGCGCTTCGTGGCCCCATAGGGAGATCCACTAAACCGTCCGCATGCGTCCCATACGCCCAATTTGGCATTTTCACCCACCCAGTACAGCGTTTCGTGGCACCATGGGAAGCTCCACCGACGGCCCCAGTACTCCCGCCCGCATGCGTTCCCCCCCACCCAGTGCAGCGCTTCGTGGCCCCACAGGGAGCTTCACCGAATAATAGATTCACATTGGCGGTACCCACAACTGCATATGGTTGGGCTTTTCGCCAGGCTATTTTTTGTTTCCCTACCATCCTGTGGTGTTGGGTCCTCGCTTTGAAGCAAAAAAATGAAAAGCGCCCCGCGTCCCTCCACTCCTCTCCTCCTCCCCCTCCTCCCTCCTCCCCCTCCCCGCTCCTCCCTCCTCCATGCGTTTCACCCGCCCAGTACAGCGTTCCGTGGCCCCATATGGGGGCTCCACGTAAGGCCCCAGTGGGGGTGGCCACATGCGTGCGCCACACCCAGTACAGCGCTTCGTGGCCCCACAGGGGGCTCCACCGAAGGTCCCAGGTGGGGTGGCCACACGCGTCCGCCACACCCCGTGCAGCGTTTCGTGGCCCCATAAAAGGGGGTTCCACCCAAGACCCCAGAAGGGGTGGCCACATGCGTCCTGCACACCCAGTACAGCGCTTCGCGGCCCCATAGGGAGCCGCCCAAGGCCCCAGTGGGGGTGTAGCCAAATGCGTCCTCCACACCCAGTACAGCGTCTCGTGGCCACATAGGGGGCTCCGCGTAAAGCCCCAGTGGTGATGGCCACATGCGTCCTCCACACCCAGTACGGCGCCCCGTGGCCCCATAGGGAGCTCCGCGTAAGGCCCCAGTGGGGGTGTGGCCACATGCGTCCTCCACACCCAGTACAGCGTCTCGTGGCCACATAGGGAGCTCCGCGTAAAGCCCCAGTGGGGGTGGCCACATGCGTCCGCCACACCCAGTACAGCGCCCCGTGGCCCCATAGGGAGCTCCGCGTAAGGCCCCAGTTGGGGTGGCCACATGCGTCCTCCACACCCAGTACAGCGCTTCGTGGCCCCATAGGGAACTCCACCTGCGGCCCCATTGGGGGTGGCCACATGCGTCCGCCACACCCAGTACAGCGCTTCGTGGTCCCATAGGGAGCTCCACGTACGGCCACAGTGGGGGTGGCCACATGCGTCTGCACACCCAGTACAGCGTTTCGTGGCCCCATAGGGAGCCCCACCCAAGACCCCAGTGGGGCTGGCCACATGCGTCCGCCTCACCCAGTATAGCGCTTCCTGGTCGCGTCGGGAGCTCCACGAGAATCCCCAGTGGTGGTGGCCACATGCGTCCTCCACACCCAGTACAGCGTCTCGTGGCCCCATAGGGAGCTCCACCTGCGGCCCCAGTGGGGGTGGCCACATGCGTCCGCCACACTCAGTACAGCGTTTCGCGGCCCCATAGGGAGCTCCACGTAAGGCCCCAGTTGGGGTGGCCACATGCGACCGCCACACCCAGAACAGCGTCTCGTGGCCCCATAGGGGGCCCCACAGAAAGACCCCAGTGGCACCGCCCGCATGCGTCGTCCACCACCCAGTATTGCATTTCGCGGCCCCATTGATTGGGAGCTCCACGTAAGGCCCCAGTGGCACCGCCCGCATGCGCCCCCCCCGCCTGGTACAGCGTTTCGTGGCCCCTTAGGGAGCTCCAGTGGCCACCGAAGGCCCCAGTGGCAACGCCTGCATGCGTCCCCCCTCCCGTGGCCCCATCAGGAGGCGGGGGCCCAGGTTCGGCTGACCTAGCGTCGCCTGCAACGCTAGCGCGTTGCCGTCGGCTTGGTACAGCTCCGCAGCCGACACGGCACCATCACAGCCGCGTGGCATGCTGGAGGCCACCTGGAGCCAATGTTCACCATAGTTTGCCATCTCGCCATCTCTGATGCCATGTTGAGGCGTACGGTGCCATCTTGGAACCATATTGGTCCGACAGCCTCCCCCTTGCGGGGCCAGAACAATCATATATTGGTCCCTCTTGGAGCGCTATTGGGGCGGCCCTTTAGCGGGGCCATTGTGATCATCTCTTGGGCCCTCTTGGAGCGCTATTGGGGCGGTTTTGGGTTTGGGGCCTTGAGCGACTGTCCTAAACGTTATTGGAGGCAGCTTGAGGCCTCACACGCCAATTGTACGTGAAAAAGGCGAGAAGGCTCAACTCACTCCAGGGCCACTGTGAGCTGTCTCTGGGCCGCACTGCGGCTTCTTGTTGGCATGCTGGAGGCAATGTGAGCCCTCTTGAATTAAGTTGTGTGTTGTATGAGACCATCTTGGGCTGTCTGGGCCTCCTTGTATTCACCTGAATCCACATGTGAGCCTCTGACTCCTGGCGAAAACCTGGTCTCGACCTCAGGAGAGGGACTTCTACGAATAGCTCGGGTGAACCCCTCCAGTCGACCGCTGGTCATGGAGTGTCTTCTCGCCTTATTGCTCCCGAGTGGTTCGAGAGGCTTTAAGATTGCCTCTAGATGGCCTCAATACGGGCCCCCTCGCAGCCCAATGCGGCCCCAGAGGCCTCCAAGACCTCTGGAGACGCCCAAGGGGGCCCCGACCCTTTCTGGAAGGGGAAGAGGGGGCTGGGAAGAGTTTGCGATTCACCTGCGCCCAGAGGGCTGGTGGGACTCTCCCGGCCTCCACTAGGCCAGCGTAAGCCCAGAGAGACCAGGAGACGGCATCCACTGATATCTGGCCCCTTTTATCGGGCAAACTCAGGCCTGGTGGCGGCGGATCTGCTCCCTTTCCCCTTGCTCACACGGTGCTCGTTACCACGACGGCGCTGCTGGGCGTGCGCGGTACCCGGCGAGTGCCCTCGGGCGCACGGCGGCTGCGCAGAGCAACGGACTCCGAGTTGGGTTTGGCGTTGGAAGTGCCTCCGCGGGACGGGTGGCGCACGGGGAGATGGGGCGGAGCCCTCAGTCGGCGATTTGGATCCGTCACGTGATGCGAATCGGAGGAGGAGGATTAGGAGGAGGAGGATATAGAGAGGAGGAAGAGAGGGGGATCTGGGGGAGAGGGGGGAACTTCGCATCACGTAACGACTTCCCTCTGCGTGCTCAGAGCGCTCTGAACTTGCAGATCATCGCTGTGACACCCGCGGCCGTGCTGGGAGCCTCGCGCACGCCTCCAGGCGCGAGGGGCCTTCCTCGCGCCTGGAGGCACCAAGCTCTGGAGTGCCTCGGCACTCCAGAGCTTGGTGCCTCGCCCCAGGAGGAGGAGGAGGGGGAGGAGGAGGCCGAGGAGGAGGAGGATGAAGAGGAGGAGGAGGAGGAGGAGGGGGAGGAGGAGGAGGAGGAGGAGGAGGAGGAGGAGGAGGAGGAGAGGAGGAGGAGGAGGAGGAGGAGGAGGAGGAGGAGGAGGAGGAGGAGGAGGAGGAGGAGGAGGAGGATGAGGAGGAGAGGAGGAGGAGGAGGAGGAGGAGGAGGAGGCCTCTGGAGGCGCCGAAGATGATACAGGCCGCTTTCCTCGCGGCGACCGGGCGCACACACGGTCCACAAAGCGACGGGCTTCCCGGGCGGACCCACCAGCGCGCGCAGACATGGCTCAGGAGGGGAAGACACACAGACACAATGAATCGTCGATTTCCCAGAAAATATGGGAAAATATGGGAAGTGGGAGGGAAGACAAAAACCAAGAAACTATAGGAAAATATAGGGAATATTTTTATTTGTGTGTATTTATTTGTGTGTCCCAGGGACCCTTCAATGGCGGCTTGCTCCATGGCCTCGGTGATCAGGAGCTCCGCCTCTGTATCGAAGACGCTGTCGATGCAGTACGCTCAGCGCCCCATGGACCCATGGAGCACCATCCGCGAGCCCTCGCCTCCAACAGCGTGAGATCGGCGAGGAGCTGCTGCTGGGCGGCCACGTCGCCGGCTCCGGCCTCACAGACCACTGCGAGGACCTGCAGCATCGTCTTTTCCTTGGCCAGCTTCGCCAGCGTGTGCGCCTCCTGCGCCTCCGCACGCGGAACGGGGCGCTTCTCGCCTTCTTATGTTTATTATGTGTCGTTTTCTTATTCTTTTCAATGGCCTCTGGCCTGTGCTGCCGATCCGGGGCCCTCCTGGTGTTCGAGGGCCGCCACCGTGTAGCAAGGAGCGACGAGGTTTGAAGTTCGAGGTGTTCGGAGGTCTTCGCTGGCCGCTGGTCCTTAGTTCAGCGCTTTCGCTTCTGAGCAGTATCAAGTCAGACGATGCACCTCTGGCCTGGCAGCGCGCGAGGCGGCACCTCCTGGGGCCTCTCGGTGGCTTTGGGCTTCGGGGGGGAGCATCTTGGAGTCTCTCGGGGGCCTCGTGGGGTCTTCTTGGGTTCATCTTGGAGGCCCCTTGGGGCCTCACGGGGAGGCCTCGGGAACCTCTTAGGGTCTTTGGGGATCATCTTGAGGTGAAGGTCTCGAAGGGTCAGTCCGAGTTCCCTTCTTGGGCCCCCCGAGTGCCCCCAATATCGAGCATAGGAAAACCACGCAACGGAGACGAACATTCCAATGGGCACGAAAGGTTGTCAATGGACCAATGGGGAATTCGCAAATGAACATCTTCTGGTGGAGAGCCGGCGACGAGCCACAAAGATCACCTCGTAGAAGGCCCGGGCGCCAACAAAATCGATGGACAGATGATTTACGTAAGCTGGTCATTGACTGTTGCGGACAAGTGGATAGGCACTGTGTCGCTACCCCACCGGCGTGCGACCACTTCCAGGGCACGTACCTTCAGCAGTGATGTTGCCGCCGTCCCACCCTTCTTCTCTTACTCCTCCTAGCATGCAGCATGCAGTGCTTCACCCGCGCATTTAACAGGCGCCTTGGCGCCCCCTTCGCCGCGCCCTTCTGGCTCCACGCGCGCGGAGCCATAGCCGTAGCCGTAGCCGTAGCCGTTGTAGTCGTCTTTGGGGCCCCGTGGGGTCATTTTGGGGGACCTTCCGCTCCTTGGGGGGTACCTGCTCTTCATGCGGCAGTGGAGGAGGGGAGAGGAGATGCGGCAGCAGCCCCCCCAGGAGTGGAGCTCGGAGCAGACTATTGACCTGTGCGCGGAGGCGTGCGAGGGCGCCCTTGGGTGCGCGGCCTTCGCGGTCTGGAACAGCCCCGCCACCTTCAAAAGCATGTGCCGCCTGTTTGACAAGAACTGCGAGGATCGGGGAGCCGGGAACGGGGACAGAGCGAGCAGGGCTGTGGATCGAGGCCGCTTCTTGTGCAGCTCTTGCCGTCGTAAGCAGGCTTTGCTGTCGGCCCCAAAGCGACAGCCGTCGGCTGGAAATGGCGAAGGTCGCCCGCCTGACAGCAGTCGCTCTTAGCACCGGATTGTGTCCGCTATCCCCGTCGATCGAGAGGGCCCTCGTTTCGGGCGCCTTGGGAGGAATTCTGCTTGCACGCACCCTTCGGTGGGAGGGGAAGGAGCAGGCAGTGGATCAGGAGGGGGAAAAACACACAGACACAAGTAATCGTCGATCCCCCGGAAAATACAGGAAAATATGCGCAGTGGGGGGGAAAACAAAGACCCAGAAAATATGGGAAAATAGGGGGAATCCTGTTACTTGTGTGTATTTACTTGTGTGTCCCAGGGCTCCTGCAGTGGGCAATGCAGCAGGCAGGGCAGACAGGAAATCCGGCCCCCAGCGGGCGACCCACGGGAGCGCCTTATCTCGCCATGGCCCCATGGACCCACGTCCTCCTCCTCCTCCCCCTCCTCCTCCTCCTCCTCCTCCTCCTCCTCCTCCTCCTCCTCCTCCCTCCTCCTCCTCATCCCTCCTCCTCCTCCTCCTCCTCCTTTTCCTCCTCCTCCTCCTTTTGGGGCACCCCCTCAGGAACCTCAAAGATAGGCGACAACACATGTCCCCCCCAGATCTTGTATGGCAGCAGTTCTCCCCGTAACTGTTCACCTGCTGCATCCCCATGCCTCTGGCTGCCCTGACAAGGAGAACGACGGCCGGCAACCGTGCGACAGCTTCAACAGACTGGCCGGCGCGAGCCCCGGCAGCGGCGCGGCCCGATGAGCAGGCCGTTCGTGCTACAGAGCGCCCCCGTGTCGCCCACTCGCTGCGCCCAGGCGTCGGGGCTCCAAGCCGAGCCTGGCGTGGCCTTCGTGGCTGGCGCCGGTTCCCCTCCTGCTCCCGCTTCTCTTGGCTCTTGGCTAAAGCTGGGCAGTTGCTGGTGGGGTGCTTGCGTGTCTGCGCGCGGGATAAACAGCTTGTCCTCCGCACTCCACACCATATCTGTCCTCGTCTTGCACTGCCCCTCCTCAGTCCTGCGTCCTCCCCGGCAGCGGAGAGCTTGCACAATCGGTGTAGCGGAGTTGTAAAGAGTTCGCAGGGCGGTGCAGCCAGCACCAACCGTTGATCTCTTTTGTGTCATTCACGTGTAGGTATGCCGAAGTTGTATGAGATGGGGCGCCCCCTTTGAATTTATTGAATCGCTTCGCTCATTCCGCCGGCCCTGGAGCGCTATTTGGGGCCGTCTTGGGGCCGTCTTGGGGCTTCTTGGGGGCTTCTTGGGAGCGTCTTGGGGCTCCTTGGCGGCGTATTGGGCCCCCCTGGGGCCTCTTGGGGGGCTCTTGGGGGCCCCTTGGGGCGGGAGGGGGGGTACTTTATTAGTGAATTTAATTGGTTTTAGGGTTTCAACAAATGGTCGCAGCCACGCAGAGGGCGTGCGTAGCGACGCGCAAAATGCTCTGTCTCCAGTACTTCTACGTGGCGGCGCCCCAGCAGGCACGCAGAGGGCACGCGTGGCGACGGGGGCGTCGCCACGCAGAGCTTCTAAAGACCAAACATTTTGAAAACCAATTGTTTCCTCTACTGAAGTAGTTGTTGGGAGGGGGGGTAGTCGTTGGCAGCCCCCCCTCGGAGGCCACGATCCTCGTGAGGGGTGGCGAAAAATAGCCTCCCCCCTGGGGATCGCCCGGGGGTCAGCCGGGGATCGGCCGGGGTACTTTTCGTCCGGGGCCCCCCAGGGGCCGCCCCGCGCGCGCGAACTAGAAATATTGTTAAGTAGTTACCGAAGATCTTAGCACGCCTCTGGCCCGTTGGGCCGGCGAACTGACGCTTCGCGTATCCACACCAGCCCATCCAGAAATGATGCTAAGGGGAGTTAAGGTGATCAGGGAAGTGGAGGAGCATGCAGAAGAACAAATGGCGGGGGAAGCCGTCATATACCCCAAGAGGGGTAGGATGGATGAGTAGTCGTCGTCGGAGGAGAAGAGCAGGAAGAGGAGGATAAGGAGGTGGAGTAGGGCGAGGGCGAGGAGGAGGAGAAGGAGGAGAAGGAGGGAGAGTTGGGTACCTCGGGGATCCTCTTGAGGCCTCGTATGGGGTCTCTTGGGAGCCTCTTGGAGGCCTATTGAAGCCGTCTGAGCGCGTCTTGGGGCTCTCGTGGGGCGCTCTTGGGCGCTTTAGGGTTGCTCTTTTGGCCAAACTGGAGGACTTGGATCAAACAAGAGGGGAGCTTGAATTAGCGCCCCCCCTCGAACGCCCCAAACATCGCCTCTTGGCGCCCTCGTGGAGCGCTCTTGGGGCGCTCTTGGGCGCTCTTGGGGCCGTCGTGGAGCTCTCTTGGGCCGCTTCTGGGGCTCTCTTGGGCCATCTTGGAGCCATCTTTCGGCCTGCGAGGGCTATCGAAAGGGAATGGGCGACGATGCAACAATCATTGATAATCATTGAGTTTCTTTTGGTGTTTGATGGATTGGTGTCTTGGAGGCCTCCTTGGAAGTCTCGGAGGCCTCTTGGAGCCGTCTGGGAGCGCTCTTCGGGCCGCTTGGAGCATCTTGAGAGCGATCTTGAGCTTTCGTTGGCTATCTTGAGCCATCTTCTTGGGCTCGGCCCTCTTGGGACAGTCTTGGGCCATCTTAGACGCTCCAACGCTTCGCCGCCTCCCCCGTCCAGGTCCAGGGGAGGGGGTAGGGGCAAGGGTCAAGACCCCCTCCCCGCCCGCAAGCCGTCTCGCTCACTCCCACCCGCCCTCCCAACACATACGTAGCACCCGAGTCTGGCCCGAGCCTCAGCATATTCAGCAGTCGTCTTTGGATGGGCAGCTACTGGGGGCCAATCCGCCGCCGCCGCCGCCGCCTCCGCCGCCGCCGCCGCCGCCGCCGCCGCCGCCGCCGCCGCCGCCGCCCCCCGCTGCCAAACCGCCGCCGCAGCCGCTGCCGCCGCCGCCCCGCTGCCAAACCGCCGCCGCCGCCGCAGCCGCTGCCGCCACCGCCGTCGCCGCGCCGCCGCCGCCGCCCCCGCCGCGCGCCGCCGCCGCCGCCCGCCTCCAGCCGCCGCCGCGCCGCCGCCCCCCGCTGCCCGCCGCCGCCGCCGCCGCCGCCTGCCGCCGCCGCCGCCGCCGCCGCCGCCGCCGCCACCGCCCCCGCTGCCAAACCGCCGCCGCGCCGCAGCCGCTGCCGCCACCGGCCGCCGCAGCTGCCGCCGCCGCCCCTCCCGCCGCCGCCGCCGCCGCCGCAGCCGCCGCAGCCGCCGCACCGCCGCCGCAGCCGCCGCAGCCGCCGCCCCCGCCGCCAAAGTCTCTGTATTGTTTTTTGACAGGGATGGTGGGGGGGCCGCATCGGGTGGTTTGCGCATGTTCCGAATTTGAGGCAAAGTGTGTTTGTTATCGTTTTTTACAAAAGGAAGGTGGAGGGTGTCGTCATGGACCCTGGTTGGCCCCCAGTCGCCTGGGGGAGGGGGTGTTTATCAACAGGGAGCAGTGATCAAGCTACTCACCCGCCTGCAAACCGTCTTGCTCACTCCCACCCGCCCTCCCAACACATAGGTAACACCCAGATGTCAGCATATCGCGTAAGAGCGCCGCAGACGCCACGGGTTTGGAAGCCCCTTGGGCCTGGCTTTAAGCTTTCTTGGTCAATTGTGGAGCCACTCGGAGGTTTCGAAAGCCCAACGGAAACGATAAGGCGAACAGGCAGCAGCCACTGATGTGTCAAACCAGTCGGTCGACCACCTGTGACCAGAAGGTAGGTGGGATCTGCTGGCGCCCCAGCCGTCCTTGTAAACTACCAATACAAAATGGTCGCGGGGCGGCCGCGCATGCTCCAAATGTGGAGGCAGAGTGCGTATTGTATTGTTTCGTTGACAGGGATGGGGTGGTGGTGGCCCTCATGGGGTTATCATGGTTCCGGGTTGGCTGCCGGAAGGGTGGGGGAGGGGGTGTATATTCATAGAGAACCGTGGTAAGCACATCCCCGAAGGGGAAGCAGGGGGCTGGAAGAGGAAACGCTCTAGACCACATACGCCCAGAGGGCTGGTGGAATTATAAAGGTGGAAGACCGTTGATAATGCGTTGCCTTTGCGCTGTTGCCAGTCAGAGGCCCAATGGCCCGTACTTTTCCTCCCTCTCTCCCGTTCCCTTCCGAGGCCCCTATGCAGTATTGATCTGCCTCCTTGTGTATCTGTAGCCGCTCGTTTTTCAACGGATGTCTTGGAGTTTCCAGGGCATGAGCTTGTACCATCACACCTCTGCTGTTTCGTTGGGGGAGCTCCGAGTGCCACATCCTTCTCTTCGCCGACATGTTGCTGGACGCCCGCCACTCCACTAGAGCGCAATGCCTGGAGGAGGAGGATGGGGAGGAGGAGCAACGGAAGGAGGAGGGAGAAGGGCAGGAGGAGCACGACGAGGAGGTTCGGGAAAAGTAAGGCATAGCCTGGTCCTCTGCAGCCTTCCCACCTTCACTACGCAGAATGGGCAGGGAGCCAAAAAGAGGCAAATGGTCCTGGATACGAGGATGATGCTGGCGAGTGTTCGCGGAGAGCACGTCCCCGATAGTCAGCGCACCGACACAAAAGCAAGTCGGCTGTGGTAGGCCCATGCCCCCACTGCAGACATGGGTAAATGGTAAGTCCATTGATGACCGTATGTGCCCGTATTTATCCAGTCGGTTGCGGCACATTTGGCCAGGGCGCTTCGGCGGTGAGCGGTTGTAGCACAACCATCGATTTCGCCGCGTGCCTCGTCCACCCTTCACCACTTCGTTCAAGGTTCCAGTCATTGCCTGTCCTGTGAAAGCCTGCGATTCATCCTGTTTGCCTTTACGCCCAGCTGCGAGCCCAGGTCACGGGGCACCCCTGCGGCGTCTTGCAAGAGGTTGCTGGCCAAAGACGTTGCCAAACAACCATGGCGCGTCCCTCCGCGAGCCACGCGAACACGCCCAACCCGCTTTCGAACATTCCAAGGTCCGGGTTGTCGAGCACCTGGAGCGAGCAACGGCTCAAGAGTCCAGCATAATGTATTGTCGCAGGCCCAGAGGTTGACACCAACACCAATATCGGCGGTGTGCCTCCACCGAGGGAAGAAGATCCCGATTTCGGTGATGGTGGTAATAATTCTGGCTTCCAAGGTGGCCGGAATATTACCACCAACACCGAAATCCAGGATCATCTTCCCCTTGTGGAGGCAACCCCCTGTGTTGGTGTTGGTGCAAATTCCCAGGCCTCCAATATTGGCGACGCTGCGCGCGAGGCCCCAGGCCGCTTGGGAGCCAGACTTGATCATCATGGGGTCCCCACCTTCCGTGGGCCGTGGGCCTCTCGACGTCGTGCGCGCTCTGCTTGCGGCAGAGGCCACGGACTTCTCTGTTGGGTGGGCTGCAGTGGGCTGGCCTCGGAGGACTTCGGAATCGTCGCCGCACGTCGCCCGCCTTGTCCGCGACAGGGGAAAGCTGCAGTCGGACTTCCAGGGCCAGCCTCGGATGGCCTCGGAGTCGTCGCTGCGCAGCGTCCGCACCAGTTTTTGTTGGGGGGCATTGGACCGCCAGCTTTTGGAGGCTTGCCTGGGTCGGCCTCGGGGCGTCGCCGCGTGTCGTCCGTGCCTTGGTTTGTGACCTGGGAGGTGGGCATCCAGATTCGTTGTGTGGACATCGAGGGATCTTCTTGGAGTCGTCGCGGCCGTCGCAGGCGTTTCGCCCCGCGGCGTGGCGCCGCCATGGTAGCGGCTGGATTTTGCCGAAAGATTAGCAACAGGACGAGCTCCAGGCGAGCCAGGAGTCGGGGTGGGCCTCACAGCGGCACGCATGTGCGGTTCGGCGCCCAGTTCTTCCAGCAAAGGTCGCTTGGTCATTTGCAGAGTGAGCGGCCGAAGTTGATGGGGCCTACTTGACCTCGGGTGCTCGAGGATTCGTCAACAATAGAGCAGTCTGAAATCATGCTCTCTTCCGACGGGGGCACTGGTCTCATCCGGGTTGAAGCCTTGGTGCCCAGTGTGGGCGAGCGCGGGCCTAACGAATTTGGTTCAACCAGCCTCCAAAGGTGGGGCCCCCGACACTTCAACAGCAATCTTTCGGTGAGGAGGATGACGTGGCGGCGATGACGCACAACTTGGCACGGAGGAGGGTTTGGAGGAGGATCCTTTTT